TACTGAACAGTGACACCTTATGGGGCCCAATCATATATTTAGACATATGTAAATAAGTTCACATATATATAAATATATGCATCAATACATCCATACCCACACACACTCATATGCGTTATGATGTAACACATTAGTGTTATCTCTCACCATATTTCTGTATCTTGTGAAAATGACCTCATTATATTTCCTTTTAAATTGTATTACATTTTGACTTTTACTCCTCATTTAACTTGTTCCATAACTTTACCCCCTGAAATGAAATACAAAAGGCTGGCTCTTGTTTTTCTCGGTTTTTTTGTTTTTGTTTTTTTTTTTTCAAAATCATCAGAATAGTCTTAAAATATTCTTGATATCTTATTTTACTATGTTATTCACCTTTACTCCCTTCCATTGTTTAATGACTTTCATAAAAACAGATTTTTATGAAAATAAAGGGGTTATTTTCACCCAATAAACCCAGAACAATGAATTTCAATCAGGATATTTCTGGTGATAAGTTAGAGTAAACTTTTAGTACTTTGTCTCGTTGTTCTCTCTCCCCCCCTCCGTGGTGAGGGCGTGTTCTTGCAGAGAACTGGTAAAGCCGCTTTAAGACTTTAGCTTTCACTCATGAAAGGATCAGATTCTAACAAGAAAAATAAATCGGACACGCCCAAGCAGAATTGTTACTGTTCTCTGTACAACAGCTGGCAGCATTCATGCAGCAGAGATCCTTACAGAACCATCAAAATGGAAAGTAAGATTAACCAGCTAAAGAAACAAAATGTGACAAGAAGTTGTTCAGAAAATGAAATGCTTGCAAAACACCAGTTTGAAATTAAATAATTTAGTGGTTTGCACTTTCTTTCTTAAACAGCAGAGGGCAGCCTCTGCATAGTGTCACATTACCACATCTGAACTGAAATGTGTCAGATCTACCAGCAGGGGGCTCTAGACTACCGCTGTCAGTCTCCTATGTAAATGAGACAAATTGATGTTCTGCATTCTGGAAGCCTACGTTTCCTGAATGCAGGAAAATCATGTTGTTTTCAGAGCAGATAACATGATTTTACACTTCATAACACCCCATCTTTTACGTGTCATGATGGTGCATGCAGTGCTGCACTTTGAGCATTGAAGGCCTTCGTGGAAACACACATGCAGCTCTATGGACCAGACTGTGATAACAGTGTGTGTTTTGATGGGTCGGGATCCTGCTAGGAACAAGCCATTCTCTTCCCCGCTGCCAGGATGAACGTAACAATCACAACATTTTCCAATTTCCCTTCAGGCTGAGATCCATTTCTCATCCGAGAGGCACGAACAAGTTTCAAACAATACTCTGATCTGACAGATAATCTGGCTGTTCAGACACATGCCTGTTCAAAAAGGAGCAGAGCTAGGATCAGAAATGATGGTTTTTGTTATTTATTATTGTCATTCTCAAGAACCACAAGAAAATTTGCATTACTAGTAAGTTACACTAGTAATGTTTATTCACTTTTATTTATTCACTTTTATTTATTCACTTGGAGTCTATTTTTGGCTAAGCACACACACGCGCACACACACACACACACACGTATGTATGTATGTTTATATGCATATGCGCATGTACCTTCGAGTGGTTGAAATACACTGCTCAAAAAAATAAAGGGAACACTCAAATAACACATCCTAGATCTGAATGAATGAAATATTCTCATTGAATACTTTGTTCTGTACAAAGTTGAATGTGCTGACAACAAAATCACACAAAAATCATCAATGGAAATCAAATTTATTAACCAATGGAGGCCTGGATTTGGAGCCACACACAAAATTAAAGTGAAATGTTCCCTTTATTTTTTTGAGCAGTGTATATTACATGAGGTAACCAGAAAGTAGATTGGGTTGCTATCAGTTGGAGTCACTTTCAGCATTTCAACAGGTTTGTGACTGAACTAGTGCAAACAGAGCGTCTGCACAATGTAGCATGAGATAAAGTAATCTCATCAGGTTATTGCTACCACATTTGCATGGGGTTTGCTAACAGTGGAACACACTCGTGCTTTTACTTTTTTTGCCACATCCAAAATTTATTTGGCAGTCTGGTTTGCTGGTGATGCATAAGCCAATTCTGAATTGGATGTGTGAGAATGTGATGCTAAGTCATTATTTATTACACTGGTAATAAATACCAGTGTGTGTTGTGGATATGAGAACATCCAGCATTAGGGCAGCAGCAGACTTAAAGCAGCACAGCAAAGTTGAACCCTGATTTTGTGACTTGCTGGTTATCTGGGTTGGGTTAGCACATCTGGGAACCAGGATACATCAGCAAATCACTATTACTTCTCAACCATGTTGGGTCAAACACAACCTTTTGGTGGAAAATGTGGAACTTTCTAAAACTTTATATAAATTACGAAGCATACCTTTGGCTCCTACTGGAAATGTAAAGGCTAGTTGATGGACTTTAGCATGGCACAAATGGCACAGACATCAAAACAAAGTATTGTGTAAAAGGCATGGATGTTTTGTAAAGTTGATTCCTCATTTCAGACTTTTGCAAATTATACTTTTAGAGTACAGGTCTCTTCGTAACAAATTCTTCTTCCTTGGGATGATTCATATCATCCAAGTTTCATTACTGACCCTTGGAACCTACATGGTGAACCCAATAAATTTCATAACATCTACATGTAGACTGCTGGATGCACATGTTGTTCAGAGGTGTTTATTTTGATACCAGCGCATGATGACTTACTGATTATGATCAATACGTCACATTTCTTGAATTGGCTAACTCAACTTAGAGATCAGAACTAAAATTAGTGGAAGTTGATTCTAATATAAAATATTTGAATAACAATAACATCACACACACACATATATATATATATTTTTTTTTTTTTTTAAATGGATGCCAAATATGAATAAAATTGGCAACATTGCAACAAATGAGGATGAATTGTCCCAGAGCCATTTTCAAACCACTGCAAAACAGTCTGAAATAAACAAAGCACATTCAAAACAACACGCCTTTGAAAATAAAACCCCAGCTCTGGTGAACAGCCACCATGCCATGAATAATATGAGGCAGGACTAAACGCTGCATGCAGGTTCACCCTGTCTTCTTTCACCTTGTTCTGAAATATTCCTCTGCAAATCATTATGTTTCTCTCACATCTAAAACACCTGAGAATTTCTGTTTCTTAAATATCCTCAAGCATTCTCGCAAATTGCTACAATAACCATTATCATTATTATTATTGTCATCCACATGGCATGTGTGGTTTCCCTCCTCCAGTGTTCTGCAGAGCCGCCGTGCTGACAGGCTGAAGGGTTTTTACTGATGCCACGTGCTGCACCAAAAAACAAGAAGCCTGAGGGATGATCCTCTCCCAGCTGTTTTTCTGCAGCAAAACACAGTAAACAGCGATTTGGTTGAATCCTAGATAACTCCATTAATTCCTGAGTGTAAGTCAGTCTACTTGTCATATAGAACCGCACTAATCTCGACCTAGTTTCTTCACTGTTCCCTCTGTTGTTAAGTTTTCTTCATGTTTCTCTCTTTTCTGTTTCTTAAATTTATTTTATGATTTTCAGAGTTGACGCCAATAAAAGAGCCTGTATTTTTTTTCTCTCAACAATGTTCCTGTCTCTTATCTGCCTCAGATACAGGAGACTCTTCAGTAGAGACAGAAGTTCACTGCAAGGCTGACTAATCTTCCCACAGACCGGTTCAGACCAGTCTGAAGTTGAAACTCGCCGTGACTCTCGGTTCCACATTTTAAACCTCTCTGAGCTCATAGTGTTTCCTACAAAACCAGCTGATTGATTTTCCCGTCAGTCTGCTATAAAGTATATTGCCTCTTTGTCTCTTGGTTGTCGTCATAGAAAACATCCACTAAAATATTTGGCCCTCTTCCACTCATTTTTATAATCTAAAAAAAAAAAAACAGTACTCAAATCTTATAAATATCTAATGCTGGTTTTAAAAAGAAAAGAGCTTAGTGCCTGTGAAACATGTTCAAACACTTTGGATGTTTTACCCTTTTTTCCTTTAACAAATCAGTCATGATTAACAAAACATGGTAAAATAACTCATTTAAAGTCAGTCAAATATGTAATAGTATGTAACTTTTATAAATATATTTTTTACATATATTTTTTGAAATGGTCAGTATGGTGTGACAGCATGGTAAGAAACAGATGATCTGAAAAAATCTAGTGCTAACTAGAAAGAACCAATCAGAGCCAGGAGGTGGGTCTTGGCACTGTCAATCACCCTTGTGAACAAGCAGTAGAAAATGCTAAGGCTAGTTAGCATGACCATTGATAACGGCAGATAAATGGTTTTCCTGCAACTTTAAGATGTTTCTCCACCACTAGCGGAGCAGTACATACACGACTGTGATTGACAGTGCTAAGAGCCGCCCCTTGGCTCTGATTGGTTGTTTTAGACCAGCAGCGATGCATTTCTTCAGTCGGCAGTAGCTCAGAAAGGAGATGGAGATTGATCTTTTCACTGCTTATCTGTCTCATATTATACTGTCATGACATGGTGACAGTTTTAACAAATATGTAAATAACATATATATATATATATATATATATATATATATATATATATATTATATAAGTTGTATATTGCAGCTTGTCACCCACTCCTCAAAGCTACTGACCTGATTCAATAGAGTATAAGGACAATTATGTGGAAGTTAAAGTGGTATCTCTCACATTTATTAAACACAGTCCTCATTCGCAAGATATCCTTAACAATTTTTTTTTTCGGGAGAATTACTAAATTACAATCCTGCCACTTTATATCAAAAGGGCGCGTTTCCTCACATTAGTCTCGCAGCAGATCTTTGGCCAAGCGTCCGTCCTTCCGCAGTCTGTCGTGACCTTGGCCTCCCACCACAATGAACAATGGGCTCCACTGTCAACCTGTTCCAGCACTTTCCTTTACCTGGCACCAGACCAGGTTCATGGGGTCAGTTTGCTTCATTTATATCACAAAGTCAGCACAGCTGTCCGCTCCGATCGCTGAAGAAGAGGCCGACATAGAAAGCGGTGGATACTTGAACCCGGGATGCTCCCTCTAGTGATTCTTAAATAAGACAGTCAGGTGTTATAGCAGGAAGTTCAGTTATCTTACTACAGGGCAATGACCTGATATTTTTACTCTGTTACAACATCCGTCTGTGCTTTGGAACGGAGTCAAAATGTAAAATGTGTAAATGCTTATCCACCTACTATTTCCAGGTTTATTGTAGGCGAGACCATGAGACTCATCCAGTTTCCTCTCAAGCAGTTACTGCCTCTAATTTATCCCAATTCTGGAGTCGCTCAAATGCCCTGAGTCACCTGCTTGTTTGGTGGAGCAATGTTATGGTGACGCAGCCAGAGTCCTCTATCATTCCACCCACTCACGCTGTTGTTATCCTCTACTGTATCGCCATAGAGACAGCTAAGCTGCCAACATAATTTCATCCTCATGCAGATGTGAAGAGCAATTTACCATCTACCCCGCGCTCTGCCGAGTCTTCTCAGTAAACAGAAATTACTTCAGTGTGTGAGGATTTCGTAGCTTTAGTCTAGTCAGTGAGACTAAACCTTTGAATCATCAAAAATAATAATTTTATCAAACAGCCGTACAGCTATCATGAAAACATTCAACAGCAATTCCTCACCTTTGTAATTATGAACTGTTGCTCATCATCAAGTTTTAAAATGACGGAGAAAAACTCTAAAAGAAAAACAGCATAATTATGTCAACAAGGAAGTGTTGAAATGGTTAGGGCAAAACCTCCAAAGAGAAGTTTTTAAAGTTTGTTCACCGTTACCGTTCAAACTTGCTTGATCACCAGCAAGTTTGAACCTATTTGTAAAAGTAGATGGTTTGTATTTTTGCTTGTTGTGAGCTTGAAATCAAATTGTTTTGGAACTCTGCAAAGAAAGAGAGAGATATGAGCAGTAGCTAGAAAGATGTGTATCAAAATGAACAAACAGAAAAACAAATAACATCCGTGTTGGAAAAGTTCCTAAATAAATCGTAAAGGTATTGACTTTGTGTTAGACTCTTTTGGCTTGTAGTTTGTTTGGAATGTTTCCTAGGAAAAAACATCATCTTCTTCAGACTCAAGGTTCCACAAGGTGTTTGCTGGTTGCTGCTGCCGCTAGTCTGGAGGAGTTGAGTATGGGAGGGATTTTCTGTCGGGCAGAAGCTCAGCTGGAGACTGCAGCTCCAAGGAGGACCTTTGGGTAAACCGGCGATGATTTGTACGAGCAGGCATGTAGCACCCTACAATGGTTGGCATGGGAAATTCAGGGGTTCCTCAAATATGCAGGAAAGAATCAAAGTAACACTCAAGGTATGTTTTTGATGACGGAATAACATTAAACATTACATAAACCTCAAGAAAGTCAATTTTATGTATTATAAGGGATAAAATTCATCCCAAATCTGGCCATGCACAATGAAATAAGTAAACTTATCAACCTAAGACTTGTGGTGATTGTATGAACTGCAAACGTTAATGGAATCAAGTAAAAACATTTAGAAAAAGAACAAGTAGGACAAAAATCCTTCTCTGACAGTTTAAAAAGTCATGGAAGTCTTTCAACAGCCGCCCTGCAGAGTGATGCAACCGATCCGGTTGGGGGACAAGGACAGGCACAGTTCAGCGTCCTGGTAGGGAGCATCATATCGACAGATGAACGCTCGGTTTGGCCGCCTAGGCCCTCGCAGTGCAGTCAACCGTGAAGGAGAGCTGGCCGGATTGATCCGGTTAAGAGACGGCGCTCTGCAGAGGCTGGGCGTCCACAGAGACTCAGCGTTCAGTCATTTAATCTGAGCTGGGAGCAGCAGGCGGCCCATGGAGGGAGGGAAGGAAATCTGAACTGGGCTCTGCGTTCAACTGTTTCATCACATTGTCTGCTGTGGTCCATATTCTTATTGCAGGAAATGTTGAAACAAAACAGACCACAGAATAAACAGAAAACGTATTTCTACAGTTTCTGCAAATATGGCTCAGTTCATTTAAACAAGCATATTTATGTTTCATATTTTGAATATAATAAAGTATTTTCTAGGACAGCAGTGTAAAGATGTATTGTCCTGTTGGTTCCATCTCTTGGTTTGTGCAGTATACTTTGAAATGGAAGGAATTAATTTAAGTTTTTTGTTTGGTTTTAGTTAAATGTAAGACAAACTGTTAGGGCTAAGCAATAATAAAAAAATTATTTAATTATGAGAATAAAGTCAAAATAATATGGGAATATTTGTAATATTACCAGAACAGTCATAATATTGTGAGAGTAAAGTAGTAATACTGTGACTTTATTCTCAGAATATTGAGTTTATTATATTAATTTTTTTTTGTCTTTGCACAGCCCTCACACTCAGATAAACTTCTTTATTTGTTTTACCTTTTCTGAAATATTCTAGAACTTACCGTGTACCTCTGGAGAAATACAGTGGACTTGTCCTTGTAACACACACACACACACACACACACACACACACACACACCGACCGACACACAGTCTTCAGAGACTCCCACCTGCTCCGGATGTCCATCCTTTTCTGTGCTGTTCTTACATAAGCCATGTATTCACTGCCAGCAACAGCTTCCAGTAAAATCCTTGAGTGAAATGTAAACATTGGCCAGTACCCACGTGGGTCACTTAACTCAACTTACCATCACTCAAACAGTTTATTTCCAGGAATGTTTTTTTTTTTTTTTTTTTACAGTAATCCATCCCTGTCTCCATAAGGGTTTTGGATGCTGAAACATTCTGAAATATTTGGGTCTGTTAGAAGAGATTGCATGTGAAGAGAAGCAAACAGGAAGTGACGCTCTGAAAAATCCCTGCTCGTCTGTTTAAGAGAAAACAAACAGCCTAAATAAGTAGGTATGTCTGTATCACAGCGGATTTACAGATCTGTCATCACACACACTGAGGGTGTGTGTGTGTTATGAGAGCTTTCCTAACACATTATTTTCTGCTTATATGTTAATTAAATTGGAATTGCACCATACACATGTAGAAATGTTACATTTTGAATTCCATGTTGTGTTAAGAACTTGGATGGGTGGGGATGGTTTGTTTGACTTATTTTATATGAAGAGGAAACTTAGGTTTAGGATTCAATATGGCAGAATTAAACTTTAAAATAACTGAATGGGTTTTTTTTTTTTTTTACTCACATTAGATACTATGGCGTATTTTTGATTAAGAAAAAAACGAGTCCACAAGACAAGTTGCAGGCCATAGAATATGATGTAGTAGGTCTGCCGGGCCAGTTGGTGGCACTGTAACACTGCAAGAGAACGATATAAAAACAAAAAAACCCACTGAAGGGTGCAGAGAGAGAAAGAAAAAAACTACCCATTAGTGCAGTAACCCCAACGATCGCCGGTTTAAAGGTCCAGTATGTAACTTTTATAAAAGTTGTGTTTTACATATTTAAGTCAAAAAGTTGTGACGATATGAAATGAGATGGATGATCTGTGGGAAAAAAAAAATTATCTTTTCCACATTCTCCATGAGGTAATGTCTGAAAACATCCACCACTCCCAATCAGAGCCAAGAGGTAGGGCTTAGCGCTGTCAATGAACCTCGTGTACTTGCTGCTTAATATGCTATTAGCAGAGAAGCAACTTACCATTACAGAAGAACCATTTATCTGCTGTCATCGATGCCTATGCTAACTAGCCTGAGGATTCTCTACAGGCTCTGCTAGCTGTATTGTAGCAAAGATCAAAGAGTGGAGGGGAGAATGCAGGCCACATGATTATAGTTGACAGTGTTAAGACCCGCCTCCTGGCTCTGATTGGTTGATTCTAGTCAGCATTGAGAGAAGGCAGAGGGGCTGGATTGTTTTTCTTTTCTTTTTCTACACAGATCATCTGCCTCATATCAAACTGTCACAACATGGTGACAGCTTCCAACATGTAAATTTATAGGCATTGAGAGATGCTAATACAGCATCTGTAAAACATTACCCTGTGGCTCCCTGTTATGTAACTCAGTGCAGCGTCTCTGACGGTCAGAACACAGGCAGCAGATTGGAACATTTCAAACCTCTAGGACTTCTAACAACGAAGATAACAAGGCAGCAAATTATTCTCTGGCTGCTTCGAAAGACAAGTACAGTCCTCTTGACATTTCACTCCCTCATGTACAGTACACACACACATAAACACAGATAAGAAGCAGGAAAACTCTGTCGCTATCTCCAGAGAGATAACTCCAGCCACTGACCCTGTTACTTAATCAAGAGGCGTCGAGCTTCTGACACTTTCAACATGTGGGGTTTTTATCAGTGACCTGGACTCTGTTTAAGGGACAACAATGTTTATCCTCTCTGTGCCAAAAGATGGAAGGAGGCAGTGAAACCTCCCTGCAGGAAGAACAGCTGAGGGATCAGCATGAGCTCAGCTGAATGTAACGTGTTATTTGTTGGAATGCTTCAATGCTGGCGTTGGCCACGAGGACAGGGTCAGAAGCTCAAGGCTTCGGTTTCCATCCTCCAGATGAAACCTTATTGTGAGGCTTTTATTTCTGCAACCCTCTAGAGACGGAGTCGGGTCATAAATGTGCCAGTTCAGCTATATTTTTTCCCCCCCTTTGTAAAGCGGAAGATAGCATTTTTTCGCATCTCGATGAAAACCCTTTGTCATACCATCTTGGAAAAAATGGCAGGTGATGTTATTTGGACAGAGCTGTCTGGCTATTGTTCTAATAGGATCGGGTTCATTGTTCATATCAGCAAACAAAATTCCCCAACACATACCAATAGAAATGACACTTCCTCTGAAGGTTCTCCTTTTAAGGAGCTGGCTTCTGGAATGGACATGCTTTTACATGAAGGGGAAAACAACTGCAGCCCAGCCAACATAAAGCCAGCCGTTGTTTATGAGCACAGTCTGAAGTGGGGGGGGACGCCTCGCGGCCTTATCAGTGCGACTCAGCCTCACTGCATGGGCCACGGGTCACCTCCAGTTGTAAACAAAGTTCAAGAAGCCCTCCTTGTAAAGTCCAGAATCTAAGCCGAATATTTTTAGCCCTCTGATGACTGGAATGGAGAGATAAAAATCTTCTGAGGCCAAATTTGGAAGAGCAGAAAGCAAATGGGCTACTAAAAATGGCTTTCAAATAAAGTCCTGAAAGCAGAGGTTGTTTGCAAACAGTGTGTTTTGCAGGGATTTGTGTCTGCATGCAACACGGGGTGCTGTGGGAGGAAACGAACTCCCACGAAGTAAACCCACCTTTGAGAACCTACATTTACTGAATGTGACTGCATGTCTAGACTACAACTAGGCCATTCTAACACATGAGTACAGTTCTAAGCTTAAGGCCATTTTCCTGCTTGGAGGCTGAACTCCTACCCCGGTTGGACATTTTTGACATCAGGTGCATCAGGTTTTTACATGAGGTTTTATTGCCCTGTGTTTACCTCTATCTACCCTCCCATCAGTTCTGACCTCCCTGTACCTCTTCCCCACAGCATGAAGCTGACACCAACTTGTTTCACAGAGCATCTCATGTTAGCATTTAGTTAAGTCACTTCTTCTGGGCTGTATTTTATTGGAGTAAAGGGAATATACATTCACACTCCCCTTTACAATGTCTCTCACACTCAAGTATCTACTGCTGTTGTGCTAATGACAGATAAACAACTCGCCATTACAGTAAACTGTTTATCCACCGTCATCAGTGGCCATGCTAACTAGCCTTAGCATTCATAGACAACTGTAGCATAGCTGAGCGTGACAACTGCAGCATAAGCGGCGCCTATACAACCATGATTAACAGCGCTAAAACCCTCCTCCTGCCACTGATTGGTTATTTCTGACCTACAGTGATCCATCTCTGAATAAGGCTGTAGGACAGGAAGGAGGCAGAGGAGTAAGATTTAAACGCATTTTATCTGTCTGATGATATGCTGTCAGGATATTGTGACGGTTTTAACAAATAAATAAAAAAAAACTGCACATTTAACTGTAAAATTACGTCATGTAAAATTACGTTTTATTTCCAATTTCTTTTGATTAGTTTTTCTTTTTTTATTTCATAATTTATTTCACATTCTGTATTCATGCAATGATTTTTTATGCATATATGTGCCTCGAAAATAAGAGTCAGCACTAGTGCTTAAAGAGAGATTAAATGCTTACACGTTTAATTTTTTGTGCATTTGTGTTGTAAGAAATATTTTTAAACAAACGCTCTCATATTTAGTGCTTAAATACTAAATACGATTTGCATTGCCCGCCTATGCAGATGGGTTATATCTGAGGTTTTATATATTTATTTTTTTGTTTTACTATTATTATTTTGTGTGTATATTTTTTTTAAGTGGTCGAAGCTGTGCTTTAGTTTTTACCACTCAGGTTTCATCATGCAGTTGCTTCTCTGACATCCATGCGGGCTGTAGGCGGCGCCTGCCCCGCTCCCCGACAGCTGGTGTCACCGCTGGGAGCGCGTCCTGCCGGAGCTCGGCCCACTGTCCGCCTATAAATACCGGAGCGCTGAGCTCCTCCACACTCAGACTCTCCTGCTCTGAACCAGCTACAGCCGCTCCGGCTCTAACAGCGCGCACCGAGCAGCTCAGCATCGTCCGAGTTGGAGCGCCACGTCCGGAGCCGCGAAGCGCCAGGAGAAAAGCAAGAGTCGAGATGTCTTCCTACATGTCCTCTGAGTCCCGCCGGGTCAGCCCCTCTGTCCACGGCAACAAGTTCGACACGGCGCACCGCAAGAAGGCCGTGGCCAACATCTTCGAGAACGTGAACCAGGACTCGCTGATGAGACTCTTCCAGAAAACGGGAGACATGAAGGCGGAGGAGAGGGTGCGGAGCATCTTCTCCTACACGCAGGACCCGGAGGAGACGGCCCGGGCGCTGATGGCTCTGAAGCAGCGGAAGAAGGACAAGTTCCTCCGGATCGCGGGGATGGTCCGGCAGCTGCTCAAGCTGCGCTGACTCCCCCACCAGGCAGTCGTCTTTCACCGCTCGTGTCTCAATGTCTCGGCTCTGGGATGAGCAAAGCGAGAAAACATTCCCGATGTGACTGGGGGACGCCACCGTAGGCGGATGCCCGAGAAGGCGCCGCCGGGGCAGCGCCGTGGCAGCTGCGGCGTTACGGACGGAGGATCCGCCGGCAGCGGAGCCCTGCCTGGAGCAGGCGGGGCAGCTCGAAGTATCTGGGAATCTGAAGGGAATACATGCCTTTCTTCACACTAGAACTCATGCATGCATGCATGCATACATTCCCCCCGTGGATGCGTTGGCTTGGGAGCAGCATCCCTGCAGGTGCACGTCACCATGTTGGTGATGGTGCAGCACAGCTGCAGAGGGAGACTTTATGGTGCTGAAGAATCTGCCTCTATACATGAATGCCTGTCCTGAACACATGCCTTTTCTCTGAACTTCATCTTGTGTTGTATGAACACTACGAAAATGTGATACCGCAGTGTGACAGCACAATGATTTTTACTGATGTGACATTCCTTTGATTATCCTTTTTCTAAATAAATAAATCATTGTTTTGTACTGAAGCCTGAAGTCTTGTCTGTCCTCATTAAACACCTCTCTCATGGCTTTGTTTTGCACAACCATCAGCTTTAGATTCTACAATCTGGCCCTTCAGATTATGTTTTTAGAATTGCATAAAAAAAATCGCTGGAAACATGAAGCTGAAAAGGCAATAATTAGTGAGAAACTACAAAAAAACTATTTATCCACCCACCCATCCTCTTTACACCCTTGTCCCTCAGTGGGGTCGGGAGGCTTGCTGGTGCCTATGTCCAGCTAACATTCTGGCCAAGAGGCGGGGTCACCCTGGACAGGTCACCAGTCTGTCGCAGTACAGAAAAACTAGAAAATTGCTTTACGTTCAATTTCAGAGAAACAAAAGGAAAACAAGTCCCTGCATGACCTGTGTGTAAATTACTACTAGGGAAATGCCCTGCACCAAACAGTCCAAATTGCCATGGTAACCAGAAGCTGACCTAATGGGTTTAACATTTAGAACAAAGGGGATAGCCCACATGTTGAGACTCATACGGTGCTGAGTCATGAAATCCATGAAATTATTCCTTGGGAAAAGAGAAGAAAGGAAAAAAAAATCTGTGAGTTCATGTCTTCACTCTGACGCAGGCGAAGACATTCAGAGACAGAGTTACTCATGAGGAAGTGGTTAATATTTACTAGGCTTCCCCCGTACTGCGCCTCATGCAGTATGCCTCACCAGACCGGCGCAAACCAGTTTGGCTCAGGCTGGTCAGGGCGGGGAGGGGGAGCGGAGCGTGTTTGCATTGGAGTCTCTTCAATAATCATCAGTGCTCTCTAGATAAGAGCATGTTAAGGGGGAATTACAGGGCTTAGACGTGTGGAGGCTTTGGTTTGTCACCATCTGGTTCTTCACCATCCCACACAAAAGCAGAAATTACCCTTCCACAGCCAACAGCCAAGGCAGACACAAAACCAACCCCACATTTATGAAAACAAAACCTTTTTTTGCTCCTGTTTTCCTACCAACGAGTCGGTGTGTTGGGTGGCTTAACTGCAGACGCACAGATCAGCTAAGTGGATGCCTTGCTAATCTGCTTGCCTTGATAGTCCCGCTACCGGCTCAAACCAGTTTTGCTGGGTTTGCGGTGCATGATGACATCTGACTGCAGGCGGTTCTCGCATGTGTGCTGAGTTACAGGAAAGCCGTATATCAGGTGAACTAAGTTGTGGAGGTTTCAGATGGGAGTTTGGAAAGGAGTCCTACTGAGCTGACGGAATAAATATGTTAGTCACCGAGATGGCTGCTGACAGTCGCATCGAAGTGTTAGTTAATTGCAGACGTTTTCTTTTGCATAGAAAAAACATAGAATCTAGTTCTCCAGTCATTAAATTAACTATTTAAACCAACAGTTTTATGACCAGACTGACGTTTTACCTCTTTAAAAGGGATTTTTTTCAGGGGGATGGAAAGTTATAAAACTAAAAGAAAATTTTTTGTGTTGCGAACGGTAGACATTTTTAACATACGATGAAATTTCTTGAGTAGCTTAACCGCAAAACAAATTCTAACATGTAAATCTGAAACAGAAATGCTAGAGGTGTCTTCTCTCATTCTGCTTAGTAGAATAGAATAGAAATGAGCTTTATCGTCCTGCAGCAGGGGGGATTCCTGTGGGAACTGAAGTGTGTAGGTTCACACTAAGACAACAGAATAAAGAACAAGATGCTGTACAAGGACAACAAAATAAATACAGTGCAGTTATCTAAAATAGCGTATGCAGTTGAGTGTAAGGTCAAAGTTCAAATTCAGATATCTTATCAATCATTTCCTGAAATCTTAAAACAACACTGTTCTTTCTTTAGGCAATGTTGCAGTACAAAGTGTAGGCATTGCTATTCAGACAAGTCATCTATTTCCTTCTAGAATTAACAGAAGGAGAAAAAAATGAAAATAAATAAAAGACTCATATTTTTTTCTGTTTTTAATGTCTTCTTTGGAGAAAAATTAGATGCTTCTTTTTGACTTATTTCAGTCATTTGGACCTAGTTTGGATTTTGCTCAGGCTGAAAAGGTAGTACCTGGGACCTGGCCCTGGTCATAAAGTCATAAAATCATAAATACCTTCTTATCTGTTAAGAGACTCTAAGCATAAGTGTTTGCTTGTAATTGTAAATATGTAATTAAAACATCTGAAATAAATACGATATTAAAATGACATCCAACATTTCCTGATCTCACTGTTTATGTATTGCCAATATCTTAGAAATGACAAACAATTCTGTATAAGACGCATAAATGAAGTCAAGGTAATTAGTACAGCACATTTCAGCAACAAGGCAATTCAAAGTGCTTTACACCCTAAAAATATAATACAATAATAAATTATGAAACAAGCAATAAACATTACATTTTGTCAAATGCCTTCATCCAAATCAAGCAAATACACATCAAATATGCTGATCTGTGATGAATCAAAGAAACTCAGTGTTTCAGCAGTTTTGCAGTTTTCTGGAAGTTTGTTCCAGATTAGAGCAGCATAAGAATCTAAATGCTGCGTCTCCATGTTTGGTTCTTCGGATGCAGAGCAGAACCAGAACCAGAAGACCTGAGAGGTCTGGAAGGTTGGTACAACAACAGCAGATCTTTATTGTATTGTGCTTCAAAGCTATTGAGTGATTTATAAACTAACAGAAGCTTTTTAAAGTCTATTTTCTGAGTAGCAGGGAGCCAGTTGAAGGACTTCCACCTGCATTAGACAGTCCTAAAAATAGTATCTTTACTTTGTCTACACATTCTTTGCGAGGAGCAGGGCTGTTTGTTCTTTTTTACTCCCACCCTAGTTCCCAAGTTTTAGTAGATATTGGTGTCCGTCTCCATCTCTCAACATTAATGTGTGATGATTCCTACATGTTTATAATGGGTTGAAACAAAACATATTTGGGAGCATCAATACATAAAATAAATCTGCACAAAATGGGTCAAGCATGAACAGACACCTCACCCTATCTATCTTTAAAAGCTATGTAAAAGAGAAATAAAATATGTATGAAATGTATCTAATGTTATGAAGTTGCTACATAAATTCCATAGAAACAAATGTAACAAGCAAATATCCACCTCAAAGGTTATCCGCATCCTTGGCAATTATATGAGAGTTTTATAAATTATCCTTCAATGCAGTAACTACTTTTGAAGGTGTCATTTTGTTCAGGCACTCACTTTTTTGAATAAAATCCTTTTTTAATTTTAATTTATTTGATGTTTCTGTAAATGCCCCAGCATTAACCAGCATTATTTTTTTATCTGTTGTCCCTGGACTTTCAGCAGCAATGCTAACACATCGTTACTCCTCTCTAGTAGTTCTGGGTCTGTTGTTCTCACAATTAAAAAGAATCCAAGAAAGGCCAAATAAAGAATGTAAATATGAAAAACTGTTCAGTAAATTATTTTAAAACATCACAGCTAGGCAGCCTGCTTTCTGTCTTTATGCTAAACTAGCTTTGGTTGCTTCAAGGCTAACACTATTAGTCTCCTTTTGCACAGGCCAAAAAAACAAACAAACAAACAAAAAAAAAACGTCAGGGTTAAAAGTTTATTTCAGTTACTCTTTTTTATTTTTTTTATTTTTTTATTACATATGTCCTCTTGTCAAAGAGTTTTTTCCCCTCAGCTTCCTGATCCTTTTAGCGCTATCCAGTTGTTTGGGAAACAATAGATAAATATTCCAGGTTGCTGTCCTGGCCATCTTTCCCCTGCTGGCAGCAGTTTACAGCGTTGGATTCAAGTCTGTCCTCTCCCACCCTCTTCCTGCCTTTCATCAGACAGAGACACAGCAAAGGCTTTCATGTGAGCAGACACCGCGGCAGACAGACTGAGCCTGGAGGACAGAACGCAATCGGAGAGCAGGGAGAAGGTCCAGGATGTATAGCTTAGCAACAGGATGTATAGCTTAGCAACGGAATCAGCCTGCAAAAATAGCCTTGTCAAAGGCTAATACTTTCAATTATGAATTGAAAGTGTTCATAATGCTTTCAATTGTCCTAATTCTGCTAGGATACATCCCAAACTTTGATGTGTTTTATTAGGATTTTGTGTCATGCACACAGAGTAGCAAATCACAGTCCAGTGAAGGAAATCAATTGATTTTACAACTAAAAATCTGAAAATGCACAGAAAGCTTTGCTGCAATTATAGCTTACTTGTACAATCTGTCACTCCATCAGGTTTTAGCAACTTCTTGTTAAAGTAAAGCTATTCCCACTGTTATTCTGGTTCATTTTGGATTCTGATTTTCACAGAAACCTCTTGATTCTTTCACAGAACAGCTGGATTTGAACTGTTTTGAAATGACTTTCAGGTGGATTGTTTACTTATAATGTCACTTCTGGAAATTGGTTGCAATGGATTTCATTTAGGGGCAACAGAGGAATGGGGACTGAGCTTCGAAGACCTTTAAAACCACATATTCTAGTAATTTCAATTCACGGCTTTGTGTTGAGTGTCACATAAAATCCCAGAGATCAAAACCTCAGCTAAATGGAACCAGAACTAAAATTATTGTAATTTACAATTTGTGAACTAGTAATTAATGTCACAAACTAAATCAAACAACAATAATTAAATAATTTTGTTGCAGATGTAAAAGGCTAACAGGTATTAAATGTTCTATGTTGGATAAACAGCAGACAGGGTGTAGGTTTCACCAACTCAAATTTAAGACTTTTAAAGACCATTATGAACGGAATCTAAGGCCTGTAACTCATCCAAAATGTACAAGAAATAAAAACAAATTTGCATATAAATAAATTGTATGTGTTGGAAACAGAAATGAGCCAATGGTGAAGGTGAATTTGCACTTACTTACCCATGAGTGGCGTAAAAAAAGCTAGCTGGCTGGCTACCAACGCTATATTATTAGCTAGTTAGCAGTAGCTGCAACCACCCAGAGTCACAGAATGCAGGCTAAGTTATTTTTAAAGAAATGAAGACTTCTTAAGGCCTTATTTTTATATCTATGCTTTTAAGACTTTTTAAGGATTCGTG